GCTAGACCCAGGCTGCATGGAAGGAAAGGTAAGAGGGGTCTCAGGGCTGAGGCTCCTTTCCCATGTGCGCACTCTTGACCATTGCTGCTCTGTTGGGAGCAGAGTTAAGCTGACAGGAGAACTTTTGAACAGTTCCACTGGCCCTTCCACTATAGTGTCTATTCCCCCTGCTGAAGGGCCTGGTGCACAGCTGGCCTAGGCCCTAGCCACTGCTACCTGTAACCTGCCTCCTCTGTGGCGGGCAGAGGCCTGTGCTGCTGGAGCTGGCCGAAGGGGCTGTTTATATTGCTCTGGATGTGTTGTCTCGTGGGCTGTTGGACAGGATGGGTCAAGGGCATGTTTTGTAACCACACAAGCAGCTGTTCCCCTCTGGAAGCTGGCACGGCGACAGCTCAGCATTATTACAGTGTCCCCTCTCCCTCTTGGAAAGCCCCACTGAATGCCTGCCTCCTGCAGCCTGTGCTGCCCCTCTGCTGCCTGCATGGGCCACTGCTGTTGGGGAGGAAGGGGGCCCTGTCTCTAACAAGCTCCTTGCATTCAGCCCTCTCAGTAGCTCCACATTGCTGTCTCCCCCCCCCCCCCCCCCCCCAGTGTAATGGGCTCATGTGTCAAACCCCTTCACCCCACTCTGGCACTATTAGCAGGGCCACATGCTAGCAGCACAGACGCTGAGCCTGGGTCTGTGTTCGTCTGTACAGGATGCACCCGTCATAGCCCTGCTCTAGGGCCAGGACTGCTGTGCTGGGGACAAATGCTTGCCAAGTGTGTCTCCCCTACACCCCCCAGTCACAGGGGCTGTCACTGTCTGCATTGCTGCTGGGGTGATGAGCTTATTACAAGCATCTTTGCACTGATGAGTTGGTGCTGGGGGAAGACAATGATGAGGCATCTTTCAGTGCTCCAGCTACAGAAAATGCTCCTGGCTGCTGCCTGCCTCTGTCTGTTCATGCAGCCCTTTCCTCCAGGGGTTGGCAGTGCTGCTGATTTGTGACTTTAGTGTGAGCCTTGCAATATTTGGTGTGATTTCCCCCCCCCCCCCCCCCTTTAAACTCATAGCATCATGTGCTGTCGGGGGAATCTCAGCTTTTGTTTTAAAGAGAGTTTCTAGCCTTCCTGGTTGTGGAGAAAAAGCCTAAAGGTTCAGAGACCAGCATGTTTGTCAGAACCCTCTTGATGTGGGGGGACAGACTATTGATTTTTGAAGGGGGGTGTGTGTGTGTGTGTGTGTGTGTGTGTGTGTGTGTGTGTTGGTGAGGAAGGAGGCCACACGGGGTTGGGACTGGACCTTTTCATTAGTACATCACTACAAACTATATGAAGCTCTATCATGCACCTATGTCTTGGAGTGTCACCTACCACTGACCTTTCACCTGCTTTCCTGGTGATGTGGGACCAGAATGCTGTCTGTGCCACGGGCATGCACAGTCTCTGGACAGGCACACTATGGGGGCTGTAGAGCTGCCAGCACACTACACCCTAGAGCCAGATAGGGCTGTTTAGCTGCTATTGTAATACTCGTACTACTACTACACAAACTGTGCCCAGTGGCTGAAGCCTTCAGGTGTGCAAGATTGCACCTGCCCATGGACCTCTCTCACTTTTGGCACGATACTTGTTTGGATTGGGCTGTGAAAGCTAAAGCAGCCCTTGTACTTCTGTTCGTGGCGGTGGGCAGCACTAAGACTGTGGGATTGGTGTAAATAGTGCGGCAGGATAGTCACTGGCAATTGATAAATAAAGGCAATCTTGGAGAAGTGGTTGTGTTCTCTGGTGGGTGTTCGCAGCTGCCTTGTTTCTTAAGGGCAAATTGCACCAACTTTGGCTTCAGGGAGAAGTGAGCTGTCTGTTTTTTAACCTAAAGCACTTCTCTTTCCCCCTTCCCTTACATAATGTAAAATCATGGGTGCGGCTAGGTACGTTCTGTGGTGCCCTGAAGCGCTGTGCAGAGGCCAACGGCACTGCGGGCTGTAACAAAGTGGTATCTGCTGTCCAGGAGATATTTACAGCCAGCCTGCATCACTGTCTAACTACACTAAACTGCCTTGTGCAACCCAGCACGTGATCACCTATGACCATGCAGCCAGTGCAGGTTGTGTATGAGGCATGAAAAAAAGCCACTTGTCACCACAGTGATTTTTGTTTGTGTCCCTCAAACAATAAGAGCCTATTTTAAAAGCATCAACTTCTGGATCCCACAAAGCTTGTCTGATAAGGTCCCCTGTCCCTGAGCATGTCCGCTTAGGCATGTGGAAGCTTGGGGGTTTGTTGAGGGTGCTGGCTCTGGGGCAGGTCATGACCCCTTTATGTAGGAAGCCATGGGGACAGCAGCTCAGGACAAGACATCTCCTTGGCAACAAAATAATAGCTACAGCCTTAGGGCCTCTTATTTCCAGGGTAGCGACTAAAGAAGAGTTGCAGGTCAGCGGATAATCAGCTGAACGTGCGCTCCCTGTGTGCTACTCTGGCCCAAAGGGCTAATATATTCCTGAGATGCATAAAGAGGGGCCTTTTAAGTAGTAGTAGACAGGATATTTTATGTCTGAATTTGGCAGTGGGGTGACTGCTGCTGGAATTTTGTCTGGTTCTGGTGTCTACAATTTAAGAAGGATGCTGCTAAATTGGAGAAGGGAAGAGAAGAGCCATGAGAATGATTAAAGGATTAGAGAACATGCTATTGATCAAGCTCCTTGAGTCTATTTATCTTAACAGACGAATAAGGGGTGATATGATTCCATTCGGTAAGTACCTACATGGGGAACACCTATTTACTAGGGAGCTCTTAAGTCTAGCAAACAAAGGTATACCATGCTAAAATGGCTGGAAGTTGAAGTTAGACAAATTCAGGCAGCACATAAGGTAAAAATTTTTTTTTTTACAGTGACAGTAATTAACCATTGGAACAACTTACCAAGGGTTGTGGTGGATTCTCCATCACTGGCAGTTGTTAAATCAAGATTGGATGTTTTTCTTCAACAGCTGCTGTAGGAATTTTTTTTTGCAAAAGTTCTCTGGCCTGTGCCATACAGGACATCAAAGTAGACCATCAAAGGGGTCCCTTTTGGCCTTGGAATCTATAAAAGGGAACCCCCTGTGACCAGTCTGATTTTCCTTGGGCCTACCCCCAAACCTACCTGTTGCAGGCTCCAGGGAGGGCTAGAGGTGGTAGCAATTTACTAGGCCCACGAGCAGCAACGTGTCCCAGCTACTGCATGCAGGGCCCTGCTCCAAGAAGCCAGCCAGGCTTTTGCCTTCACCAGTGTGTCCTCTCTCAAAGCACCCCCTCTTCCCCCCCCCGGCAACTGAGCAACTCACAGCAAGGCCCTGGGACAGCAGGTGTTCATCTCCATCCAGGGGGGCCCCAGGAGCCCTCCTAGCTATTTTGCTGTGCGAGGAGGAATGTTTTTGGCAATCCTCCTCCCCCCCTTGCTGAGCAGCCCAAGGGTGGCAGGAGAACAAGAGGCACAGCAGGCTGAGTGCCCCCCTCTCCCCCCGGAAGCTTGGTGCTTAGGGCAAGTGCTTCTGCTACCTGCTAGAACTGGCCCTGTACAGCTATTAGGAGCTGGGCCAGTGTGAGTAGGCCAAAGTGACACATCATAGGGCATTTGGTGCAATGCCAGTGGGGCAAAGACATCCCCCCTATGCTCGGTGCCTGCTACCCTCCCATAGCAACTCCCTTTGTTCCCCAGAGTCTCCTGCCCCCTGGGGGGAGGCGAGGCTGCTCCTCCCCCTTGAGTTTGCCACCGCCTGAGTCTGGTGCTCCCTTGGGGTGGGGAGAAGCTCCCCCTCCCCCCTAAGGTTGTTTTCACCCTTAGTCTGCTGCCCCCTGGGGGAGCGAGGCTGCCGGTTTTCAACGGGAACACCCAGTCGAAAAGGGACTCTGGTGGGGACCACCAACCAGACCGTTAAAAGTCCGGTTGGCAGCGCAGTGGGGACCTGCCCTGGCTCCGTGCGACTCCTGGAAGCGGCCGCCAGGTCCCTGTGGCGGCCAGGGATGCTCCGTGCACTGCCCTCGCCCTGAGTACTGGCTCTACAGCTCCCATTGGCCAGGAACTGTGACCATTAGGAACCGGGGGGGCGGTGCCTGTGGGCACAAAGGCAGCGTACACCAAGCAAAGCCGCCTGGCCGCCTATGTGCCTAGAGGCTGTGGGGACCTGGCGGCCGCTTCCTCAGAGTCGTGGTATGCATCCCCGGGACCCTGCACCCACCCCAGCCTGGAGCGCCTTCCTGCACCCCAATCCACTCATCTCTGGCCCCACCCCAGAGCCTGCACCCACAGCCCACCTGCCCATCCCAGTGAAAGTGAGTGAGGATGAGGAAGAGCGAGTGATGGAAGGAGGGAGGATAGAGCAAGCAGGGGGGGCGCAGGGAAGGGGTGTCAGGTTTTGTGTGATTAGAAAGTTGCCCCCCCCCCTTCTCCCCAGTCTATCACCCCCAAGGGAGAGGCGAGCCCCCATCTGGGTTTCGGCTATGTGCTCCCCCGAATAGGGTGACCAGATGAGAGGAAGAAAATATTGGGACGCGGAGGGGCGGGGGGGGGGTGAGTCTGCCAGGGGAGAGAGAGAAAAAATAAGCCGGCGGAGCGAAATCTTGGGACAAAGCGCAGCCCGACCAAAGACCGGTCGGGACGCGGGACAAACACCTCAATAGCGGGACGTCTGGTCACCCTCCCCCCGACGCCTGTTTCCGGCTAGTGCCTCCCTCAAGATGGAAGCGGGAACCAGCTGTCTCGTTTAACGTTATCTGAACGCCATCGAGCGAGGCCTCTGCGCTCACAAGATGGCGGCCGTCCTCGGGCTGGCCTCCTGCTCCGTTGGCCTGGTCTATCCTGGGGGGATCGACCTAGGCTAGGTCACTTCAAGTCGCTCTATCTTAGGGCGACTGACCTCGCGTCCCCAGGGCGCGGGGTCGACTCCCCCCGTGCGATCGGGGATCGATTTAGCGCGTCTCAATCGATCCCCGATAGATCGATCGGAGACATCCCCTCTCTGACTCTCTTAAGATGGCGGCCGCGGCCCAACCGTCGCGGGGTCAATGACATATGGCTGCGCCGTGGGTGCCGGGCGGGTGGCAGCGAAGGAGGGAGCGTTTAAAGGGACCATGAACCAACGACTGCGGAGGCTGGAGCCGGGCAGGAGGCTGCAGCGGGGCCGCTGAGGTAGGGGCGGGGACTGCGTGTGCGAGCCTGAGGGAGCTGCTGCTAGGGCGCTGAGGGGCTGGGTGTGTGGCTGGCAGCGCAGGCGGGGGCAGTGCGTAGGGTGGGTGTCTGGGGGGGGGGGCTGTGGTGGGGGTGGGTATGTGGCTGGCAGTGCAGGCAGGGGCAGTGCGTAGGGTGGGTGGCTGTGAGGGAGGGGCTGTGGTGTGGTCAGGGTGGGGTGGGTATGTGGCTGGCAGTGCAGGCGGGGGCAGTGCATAGGGTGAGTGTCTGGGCATGGGGGAAAGGGCAGTTCATGCGGTGTGGTGCTAGGTATCAGGGTGGAGGGATGGTGTGAGGGAGTATGTTGTTGCCTAGGGGTGTTGTGGCAGATGATGGTGGGTTAGTGGGGGTAGGTATGTGGGGAGGATGTAGTACTGGTTAGCAGTAATGGTGGGAGGCAATGCATGACTGGCAGGGTGTGCGGGTACCTAGTTTGTTGGGGGCCAGTGGGGGAGGTATTAGTACCTGACTGGCTAGCAGTGTGTCTGGTTGAAGGGCTCATTGTGCTGAGTAGTGTGCACGCATGTTTTGTCTGTGTCCATAGGGCTGGGTCACTGGCTCTGGGTGCGAGGCCAGGCTGCCTGCTTGTGCAATGAGGCAGTGGCCACAGAGATTGGTCTGTGTTCCTGATGGCACTAGCTGGTTTGGGCACAATGAGGCTGGGTGACTGGTGGTGGGCCCACTGGTGGGGTTGGTTGGCAGCTAGTGTATGTTGGGGCAGTGGCCTGGGCCATGGCAGTGGCTGGCTGGGAGCAGGCAGTAGTGAGGAATAGTTTTGTTGGGGCAGTGCTAGGGGGCGGCCAGGAGGGGATAGGTCGCCAGTTGGTGCTGCGTAGCTGCTGAGGCTACTTACAGGCGGTGGTGGGCTCTGCTTGGTTCTGGGGGAGCCAGTGCTAGGTGCTTCAGAGAGGTGCTTGGGGGAGCGGGTGGCGCTGGACAGGTTGGAGAGACACTGGGTGGGGCAGCCCAGGAATTGGGCTGCGGTGGGACTTTGGTCGGCTGGCCAGCAGGTGCGGCTGGTGCAGCACCTGCCTGTCACTGGTGCAGCAGCAGGAGTCCAGGGGTCACTGGCTCCCAGATGCCATTAGCTCAGCACATAGCATGTATGGAGCATGCACTGCCATGCAGGACGGACCCATCTCTCTCTCTCTCTCTCCCCCTCATGACCCATCTTCCCTGGGCTGCTGCTCTTATTAGCCCTGTAGCAGAACACCCTCCAAGCCCCGCCTTGGGGCCTGCGGGCCCAGCTCAGTGTGACTGTCGAACAGTTCCAGGGCACTGATAAATCCACCTCTGCAAGGATTCTTGCCTAGGCTCCGTGACCCATTCCTAAGGGCGGAGCAGCTCATCATCTGCCTCCTGTTGGGTTCTGGCAGTAGGACAAGGCCCCTGCCAAGCTGGGCACAGGCCAGAGGGCTGATTGCCAGGGGTGGGCACTTCTGTTCCCTCATCCTTGCACCAGTGCTCACTATCACAGGGCAGCGTGATTGACAGCTCCTCTCATCCCAGGAGGCATAGGCGCCAACTTTTCCCGGCGCCAGTGGGTGCTCAACCCCACCCCATCCCCTGCCCCTATTTCAACCCCTTCCCCAAAGTCCCCACCCCAACTCCGCCCCCTCCCTGCCCCTATTGGACCCCTTCCCCAAATCCCCGCCCCAGACCCACCTCTTCCCCAAGCGTGCCGCATTTCCCCTCCTCCCCCCTCGCTCCCAGCGCTTGCTGTTTCGTGGTAGGAAGCGCTGGGAGCTAGGGGGAGAAGCGGGGACATGGCGTGCTCAGGGAAGAGGCGGAGGTGAGTTGGGGCGGGGGGGCGGGGCGGGGAGCTGCTCACCCACCAATTTTCCCACCTATGCCAGGAGGAGCCAGCTGGTACGTGTAGGGGGTGAGGGGATCCATCCTAGAGTGGACATGTGGGTGACTCATCATCAGCCCCACCGTGCCTGGGAGAGATGAGTCCTGTTGATCCGTGAGGCCGTTACTCTCCGAAGAGCCCCCTGGGCCTGCAGCTGGACACTGGCTCTGAGCTTGCAGGCAGCTGACATTGGTGCTGCCCTCCTAGCCCTTAGTGACACAGTGGGCCTGGCTAGTGGCTCTGAGAGTGAAGGAGCGGCCTGGCCAGTTGAGAACTGGTCCATGAGATCTCTGTGCTTCTGAGTTATGTGGCTCCTGATCATCGTCAGCTCTCAAACATGCCAGCATGACCCCCGTTCTGAGTCCTGCAGGCCTAGGAGAGCGCCAAGCCCCTGCTGTGCCCAGTGATTCTGCTACAGAGAACTACAACCCCTGGCCCTCTCAATGCGGCTTTCCCCTCTCCTGCCTGGGAGCTGACCTTTTAAGCACACTTCCCCGGATTTGTATTAGGTGTGTTTTGTAGATTGTGAAGCTGAGGCACAGAGCGGCCAAATGACTCTCCCAGAATTGGGAGTTGGTGGGCAGAGCTGGGCATGGAAACCTGGAGTCCTGGCCCCCTGCCCACCAGGAGATCATGCTCCGCAACCTCCGGTGTATTATCTGGTTTGACCTACATGGTTCCAGTGAAGGCTTGGCTGTTCACCTGCCTTTGTAGGGGCAGTGTGCATGAAAGGCCAGGATTCCCACAGCCTCGGAGGTGCAGCTGTTACCCTGAGTAATGGTGGGGTGGAAGGGGATTGAAGGCCAGAGCCTGAGAGGTGAGGGTCGAGGGGCTGCTCACCTGTGCCCACTGCTAACTCTCCACCTTGAGTGTGTTGCTTTGGGCCCGGTCTGGCAGAGCTGCACCCAGTTCTGCACTCTGCAAGGGCTGGGCTAGCGATGGGGGTGTGATGCGATGAAAACCCTAATCTAATCTGACAGTGCCCAGGAGACAGGCTCTGCAGCACCAGCTGACTCCTGGGTGACCTCAGCTGAATTGCTCCCCCTCTTCACATGAGGCCAGTCATCCCCCGGGTAGGGGCACTGGGGTTCAGTAACTGGTTTGTGGTGGATGTGGTGTCTCTGATGAAAGGCCAAATATTAATAATAGATGCCCACCATATTGGCAAGCTGCCTGAGTGCCAGTGTCACAACAGTGCTGCTGCCTAGCTCTGCTGTGGGTCAAGGGCCAGGAAACTTGCTAGGGAATGGGCACTTGTGCAACCCATGTAGCTAGCCTGTATGTCAGGAGCCCAGCTTGGCTGTGCCAGGCACCCTGTGTCTTAGTGCATGTGCAGCAATGCACTGACAGCCAGGCGAGAGCATAGCCTGGGTATTAGGGCTGCTGCTCACAGCTGGTGTGGGCATGCTGCCTCCTTTGCTACGCGAGAGCCATGCCTGGCACTTCCCATGCCAGACGCCCTGCGGCATCTCTCAGCAGGAGCCCTGCCTTTAGACAGTGCTGCAGCTGCATTTGCTGCTCCTGCTGCTGCTGCTGTAAGGTCAGATGCTGGTTCCTGGGGAGCATCTGGCAGTGCCTGTTCTGCTGGTGCCAGTCACCAGGGCAAAGTATACTTGGCAAAGAATTGAAAAGAGAAAATGGCAGAATGAATGCCAAGCTGGATACCAGTACTTCTGGGAATGTCAGCCTGGGCCCCCAACTACAGCTAAGGAGGGTGGCAGATCTCATGCCTTCAGAAGCTGTCTGTGGCCAACTCCCCCTTCTGTCTGAACAGTGGCATGCCATGCTGTCAGCCCCTCTGGGGGTGCAGTCAGCGTCCGTCTCACAGTTGTCTTGTGGCTGATCTGCCCAGCGTGGGGGCTGCTTCGTTGGGGTGTTGAGTTCCCTCCTTTGCCCGGCACCAGCTCTCACTAAGGCTGTTGGCCCTCTGGGGCATCCTCCTTTGCATCTAGCTTGCAGCCGAAGGCACAAACCTTGTGTACAGGAGCAAGTTAACACCTCACTGCCTCCCACCAGGCATCGCCATCCTGTGCAGGGGTGAGGTCACTCCCTGAGCAGTTCTCCTCACAAGTAGCTGCTCCCCACTTGGAGTCTCTTTTTAACATTGCCCTTCTCAGCTAGTGTGTTGTGTGCGGACACAGCCCTTAATCTGAGCAAAGACCTGGACCATGCAGCTCCAAGCCAGGCCGTGATCGAAGGGATGCCATCACTGCGTTTGATACGGTCTCCCACAGTATTCTTGCCAGCAAGTTAAAGAAGTATGGATTGGATGAATGGACTATAAGGTGGATAGAAAGCTGGCTAGATTGTCGGGCTCAACGGGTAGTGATCAACGGCTCAATGTCTAGTTGGCAGCCAGTATCAAGCGGAGTGCCCCAGGGGTTGGTCCTGGGGCTGGTTTTGTTCAACATCTTTATTAATGATCTGGATGATGGGATGAATTGCACTCTCAGAAAGTTCGCAGCTATCACTAAGCTGGGGCGGAGGTAGATAATGCTGGAGGGTAGGGATAGGGTCCAGAGTGACCTAGACAAATTGGAGGATTTGGCCAAAAGAAATCTGAGGAGGTTCAACAAGGACAAATGCAGAGTTCTGCACTTAGGAAGGAAGAATCCCATGCACTGCTACAGGCTGGGGACCGACTGGCTGAGCGACAGTTCTGCAGAAAAGGACCTGGGGATTACAGTGGACGAGAAGCTGGATATGAGTCAGCAGTGTGCCCTTGTTGCCAAGAAGGCCAACGGCATATTGGGCTGTATTTGTAGGAGCATTGCCAGCAGATCGAGGGAAGTAATTATTTCCCCTGTATTTGGCACTGGTGAGGCCACACCTGGAGTATTGCGTCCAGTTTTGGGCCCCCCACTACAGAAGGGATGTGGACAAATTGGAGAGAGTCCAGCGGAGGGCAACGAAAATGATTAGGGGGCTGGGGCACATGATTTATGAGGACAAGCTGAGGGAACTGGGTTATTTAGTCTGCAGAAGAGAAGAGTGAGGGGGGATTTGATAGCAGCCTTCAACTACCTGAAGGGGGGTTCCAAAGAGGATGGAGCTCGGCTGTTCTCAGTGCTGGCAGATGACAGCAAGAAGCAATGGTCTCAAGTTGCAG